GAGTGGTTTGGCGCAGTCGGGTGCGGTTGGTTCGTGGTTGGGTGGTGAATGGGTTTGGTGGAATTGTTGCGATGGCTGACGTGTATTCTGATGATCAACTGATCAAGATGGCCCACGATCAACTGATCAGCAGATCAATGTACTCCATGTATGTGCGTTAGGCCACACTCCCGTTCTCCTTGACCTATACTGCAGGATTACTGCAAAGTACTGTAAGGTGTTTTTCATTTACAATGCGTAGTTGTATTATTATTGTTATTGTTCATGTTATTATTATTATTATTATTTAAATTGAGAGTGTTTTTAGAATTATTATCGTGGAAATTTTAGAAGTTTTTACAATTTGAGCAATTTTTAGAAATTAACCGAAAATAAACTCTACGATATCGATATAGAGGAGTTAAGAAAGACTGTACTCAATACAGAACGAGACCGTCTAAAGGAGCAGCAGCAACAGAAATTGTAGACACTTACCTGAGTTCTCTTCCAGCCGCAGTTTCCCATTTTTTTAGAAACAGGTAAGGAACCTGAATTTAATTTCAGGTCAGCCTGATTTATTTTGTCATGTATTTTGGAGGATTTTGCAAAAAGTTACATTTGAGTTTGGAGGAAAAGAGGGTTGAACATTGTTGGATGGGGAAAGGAGGGGGGAGGTTGTGGGGTATTTTTTGTGGTTTGTTTGGATTTCAGGTTTTTGGGTTGTGAATTATTTTGAATTTCAGGTTTTTGGGTTGGTTTCAGGTCTTGTGGTTGTAGTTGACTAAAATCGGTGAGAAATGGATCCGTCAACAGGGAATATGGGCGCCGTGCCGATGATACACGAGAATGCGGCCGAGGCACGTTTCAATCAGCTGGAACAAACGCTGGAAAATTTTCAGGTTTTGCATTTTTTTCGTTGAATTTTGAAAATTTCTTATGAAAATTTGATTTTTCATTGATTTGGTCGGGTAAATTTTTCTATTGGAAAGGAATTTTTAGTCGTGGAGAGTGTTTTTTAAATGGATTTTGAGGATTTTAGATGGGAAATGTGGAAAATATTTTGTAAAATTTGAGATTTTTTCGGCAAAATGAGGTGAGGATTGTTTTTTGCCTTGTTTTCTTGGTTTTTATATTTGTTTTAATGTTTTGGTAAGGATAATTTGCAGGAGAATGCCAGGCAAATGGGTGTAATCGCGAGTGATTTCACGACGCGGAGTCAGGATCCGTTGAATCAGAAGATTCACACACTGATTTCAGGGCTTCGGGTGGGTTGTTTTCACTTTTTTGGAATATTTCTTGATAATTTGTTCGGAAAGTAAATGAAAAATGAGAAATTTTCATTGAAAATTTGGAAAATCGCGCAGATTTTAGCAGAAAAATGGATTTTTTTGGCGAAATATTTGAAATAATTTCGACTTTTCGGCGGGAATTTTGCTTAGCGAATGATTTTTTAGGGGAATTTTTTAAATTGGAAGGAATTTTATTTGTTTTTTTGAGTTTTTAGGAATTGGATCACTTGAAAAATCAGTTTATGGATGTGAAAATACCGTTGGAGTTATTGGATTATTTGGATCAAGGCAAAAATCCGCAGCTGTATACGAAAGAGTGCTTGGAGAGGACGTTGAATAAAAATAAAGAGGTTTGTGTTTTGTGCGGGGGTGGTTTTTAGGCACTTGTTCACTTTAGGGGACACGCACGCTCGCGTATAACAGATGAGGCCACGCCCACTGCNTTAGCAGGCTGGGGCCATGCGCAGTGGGCGTGGCCTAGGTCTGTGTGAAAGCGCGCGTGTGTGTGTTGCTGTACGCGAGCGTGTCCCCTAAAGTATAGAAGTGCCTAAATTTGTCCCCGGATCATGCGATCCCGATTTGTTTTTGAATTTTTTAATTTTTTGGTTCCTAAAATTGAAAAAATTCATTTTTGCTGAATTTCAGGTCAACGGCAAAATTGAGATTTATAAGAAATTTCGTGCGGTTTTGTTGAAAGAGCTGGGGGAAGAGTTGCCAAACGATACGGTCTTG